GTGGACCACGACGGTGCATACTGCTAATTCTAGATTATTCTTGTGTTTGTGTTATTTAAAAGGAACTACAGATTCATTAAATCAAGAAGTTTGATCCAGTTTTATTTTTAGGTCGATATAGAATTCCTACATTCCATTTGTATAGGTTTCTCTGGAAGTATTACTAGAATCTATTAAACAATTCTTTTAAACGACTTTGAAGTTACATACCGTAATCCCTCTACTACAGTGCGCGTCATAATTATAGGACCCCCCTCCCGAATGAGTGTTCTGGAAAAATCAAGAAAGATAGCCGAATTCGGTCAACGCAGTTAGATTCAGCGTGTAGAAAAACCTACGTCTGCAAATTTTCAAACCAATTGAGCCATTTTTGAGCTTACAGGGCTCAAAAATCACTTTTTTGGCCGAGTCATAATAATAGGACCCCCCCCCCTGGAAAATGAAAAATCTCAAGTTCTTTAGAGAAAAAAATTGTAATTTTTTCGTTGGAAATTGTTAAATTAGTCTTAAAATAGCCTGACGTTTTACACATATTTTGATTACTTTAGTCGAGTTTCAGAAAACTTTATTTTCAGACTTTTTTTTAGGGTTTCTGGAGTAAATCGTGAATAACTTTGCTCCTAGGTGAAATTTTTTGCTGAAATTTACAGGGAGCATGTTAACAATGCTCATGATCATGTTTTTAATGTTCAACGCATATCTGAGCTCCGGCACTTCAAAACTGAGCTTGTGCTTTGAACTTAAAAAGTATGCCCAACGGAAAAATTTTCAAAGCTGTAAAAAATGTTCCAAAGTTGTAAAAATCATTCTTCTGTGCAAGTGATTGATTTTAAAAGCAATTTGGATAACTCAGAACATCTTCCGAACATTTTTTACAGCTTTGAAAATTTTTCCGTTGGGCATACTTTTTCAGTTCAAAGCACGAGCTCAGTTTTGAGCTCAGAGATGCGTTGAACATTTACAACATGATCATGAGCATTGTTAACATGCTCCCTGTAAATTTCAGCAAAAAATTTCACCTAGGAGCAAAGTTATTCACAATTTACTCCAGAAACCCTAAAAATCCCGAAAAAGTCTGAAAATAAATTTTTTTGAAACTCGACTAGAGTAATCAAAATATGTGTAAAACGTCAGGCTATTTTAAGACTAATTTAACAATTTCCAACGAAAAAATTACAATTTTTTTCTCTAAAGAACTTGAGATTTTTCATTTTCCAGGGGGGGGGTCCTATAATTATGACTCGGCCAAAAAAGTGATTTTTGAGCCCTGTAAGCTCAAAAATGGCTCAATTGGTTTGAAAATTTGCAGACGTAGGTTTTTCTACACGCTGAATTTAACTGCGTTGACAGAATTCGGCTATCTTTCTTGGTTTTTCCAGAACACTCATTCTGGAGGGGATTCCTATAATTTTAACGCGCACTACAGTAGGGCCCTCATACTATCAAGTTTGACTTAATTTAACTCTGTTACCGTGAGAGATATCAAAAAAATAGTAAACTGAAAAAAATAATTTTGATATTATGATAAACATTTTGTTAGTTGACAACTTTTTGATATTTTTTACAAAAACGGATAATTTCAGTGAAAGTAAATCGTATTGAGACTCTTCCATGACTGGATATACTTGCACTTGTGGAAACAGTGATAAATAGAAGACTACATTTCTTGCTATTTAGCTGTCATGAAGTTCGAATAAATTTTTCCATTATTTTGTTGAGAAACATGGTCTAACTAAATCGAAAAAAAATTACAGATTCAGTATAATCACTGGTTTGATACAGTTTTGTTTCAATCAATAGAGTTCCTCTATATCGAACTGTTATAGGTTTCCCCAGAAGTTTTTTACTACAATTTGTCTACGCTGTATTCTAGACAAATCAAATTTCCGGTTGTACTAAAAATTGTATAGTTGCACTAGTTGTTTCAGCGAAAACCGAGACAACAATAGAGTTTGGGAAAATACAGAAAAAGTTGAGATTATCAATAATATTATGCTTATCTGAGAAAAAAAGGTTAGAGAGTATTTTTTGCAGTCTGAATACGGTAGCGATATCGAAGCGGAGAGCCTAAGTAGCACACATAAGGTGGAGACACAGACAATTTTTCTCTGCGTCTCAACCTTTTTTTTCTCAGACAAGGATAATATGATATATGCTTCCAGTTTCAAAATATTCATGAAACTGCAAACAAAATTAGTTCCGGGTTAGACAGAATGGTCGTCAAAACAAGAAAGTATTTGTGTCGACAAAATCCAAAAAGTCATTTACCATGATGGCCTAAATCTCTCAAGATGTTTTTTCTAGGCCAGGATGATTCAGAACTAATATAACCTTCACCTGATGTACTTTCTAGGTCAATTACTATGGTGGCCTAATTTTCCGACGTGAACTTTCTAGGCTACCAACGTTGCTGGCCTCAAAATGGCCTAGAAATGGCGGGTTCTCAGCAATTTACGATGGTGGCTTAGAAAATTCATGAAAATAAAATAAGGCCACTATGGTGAATTACCTGGAAAACACACTAAGTGAAGGTGGCCTAGAAAATCCATCTACTAGATGTTAGGCCACGATACTCCACAAGGAAGTATAACATACAGGTTATGTTTGCAAAACTGAATCAGATCAATCAATCCGAATAGCAAACCAAATAATTACAGCTTTGAAGATATGTTTTGTCTGAAACAGAGAAAAATGGGTGTTATTGAAATTGGATGAATCAGAGTTTGGTCAGAAGCAATGAGGAAGATTTTCAGAGATCTCTGAAAACTTTTTTTTTTTGAAATGAAACTAAGTTTCTATTCTGGTTTTTTTTTTCTGAATATCTGAACATCTGAAATTTATATCTGCAAAAAAATCCAAGAAGAAAAACATGGAAAAAAATTGAGATTATCAACTTATCTCGTTTTCTGCAAGAGATATCAAAAAGTGGTCAACTGATAAAATGTTTGTGATAATTTTATAAACATTTTATCAATCCACTTCTTGATATCTATTCTAGGAACTGAGATGAATTGGCTCAAAATTAGAAGCCCTTGTAGGAGGTCTTAATTTAAAAACACACAGTTTCTCAAGTTTTATTCAAATAAGATTTTATGAAAAAAGTATTATTGAGAAGAAAAATAAAAATGACAAAAATTATTTAAAAATCCAAGCTTTTGAAGAAAAAATAAGGAGTGTACCTATGAAATTTGAATGTGTTTTATAGCCATTCCTTACTCGTTACTTTCTCAATGAAACGGAAAAAACACGCTGTCACTTTTTGACAAGCTTGAAAGAATAAGTATAGATTACGTGACCATTTAAGAAAACGTGAATGGTGGAACGACGAACAAGTAGAAAACTAGAGTGAATTGCGCCGAAGACGCACCAGCTTGCTAGTAGTTATATAAAATTTTAAAAATAAAATAAAAAATCTCCATTTGGTGACTAATGATCCAAGTTTTCCCATGATGGTCTGGCTAGATGACTAGACTACGTGATCAGATTTTGTTTTGCCTCGAAATAATTATTTGAAAAAAATACAAACATGTGAGCAAAACATAAAATAATCAAAACAGGAACATTTGTTTCATTATGAGATCATTGCCTGTCTAGGAATGTGATGGATTACTGTACATAGACACTCATCGGGGACCCACCCCTCTTGGGAAGGATTACGTATACAATATTGACTAGAAACCAGAAATCGGAGATTACTATATTTTTGGAAGGTTTTTATACCGTTTCAGATTTGCCAATTGATTAGGGTATTGAGGACGCATAGTTCCGAGAGAAACCAAAGAAAGTTTTGATATCTGTGACAAATTTGGAATATTCTCAAAAGTTGGTTATACTTTCCGGTGAATTTCTTGAGCTTTTAATATTGAAAAACGCAAAATTTTTTTCTAGTTTTAATGAAATTTTGTTTCAAAAAATTTCCGGAATAAAGGAAAAATAAATAAAATAGACTGAAGGAATTCAAACGGAAGGGATACAAATACAAAAGAAGTCTATAAGCTTTTGAATATGAAAATGTCTTGGATGATTCAGAAAACTGATTAAGCAGTCAAGGGTCCTTAAAATACCTCAAAATTCAAAAAAAACAATGCAAAAAAATACCTAAACGTGCTTCCCGTGTCAGTCTTTTTCCGTTTTGAATGAAAAAATGACGCTCTATGTGATTTTAGGTACTTGGAAGAACGGTAAAATTTTAAATATCAGTCATGATCTGGATCTATTGCGAACTGATAAATGAGTTTTTCAATCTGATAAACTAAAGGTTCTGGAACAGTGAAAAAACATTTCAAAAAAATGTATAGTACCCCTCCGAACAAAAATTTATAGAGTTCCTATTGAAACATTCCATAACAATTTTTAGAGAGTTAAAGGTGGGGAGACAGGAGATTTTTCGTAGTTTTTTTGTAGCTAGAGTATGCATTCTACCGTCACGGTGTACAACGCTTAATGTCACTCTGCGTACAGCTGTCGTCCTCGCCTTTATGTATGCAATCGGGCGTTCGCTTTCTCTTTGCCCGCGTGGCTCAGTCGGTAGCCGCACCCTCAATCATCGCCCTCACAAGTTCAACTCCTCGAGGGCATTTTTGAACGGAACTTCGACAACATTATTTTTTTCATGTCCCCCCACCTTTAAACGCGTTGATGAAACAAAAAATAGTTTTCTTTAGACAACTTCTAGACTTTCTGAAACAGGATTTCCAAACTACAGAAATTTCTGTTGACGGGGAAAGGTCCGAGAACATTCTTGAATTTATCGTCAGAACATAGGAATTTTTGTCGGTATCCTAGAATACTAAGTCAATACTTTGAATTCCCAATTTCCAATAAAATACTGTTTTGCACAGAACATATTTTACAACAAGAACTTATAAAACCAATAATAAAATGGTATCAAAGCGTTCTATTTCATTTTTTTTTTGAAGTTCCAGGACCGATGAGTAATTTTCTGTTTTTTTCGAATTCTAGATACAAGTCAGAACCAGAAATGTGTAACATCATTTTGAGTATATAATATCTTGTCTAGACCAGGGGAATTAGGGAAGTTCTGGAACGAAAAAAATTACAGTTTCATTTTTGTGTTATATGATGGAAATATTGGATGGTTGCAATATTGGATGGATCTTTGAGAAAAAGGAATAATCATGTTCCTTATCATTTCGTGGTCAGTATCATTTTCCAATCATTACCATCTTAATTGACCAACACTCCCTGTTCGTTGACTCAAAGTTTACCTTGAAGCGGAAACAGTATTTTTGTCAAAAACCAAAATTTGGATTTAAAAGTTAAAAAAAGAATTTGCCGCCAGCAGGGGTCGAACCTGCGACCTTGGGCTTATTAGACCCACGCTCTAACCGACTGAGCTATGGCGGCCGATGGGAGGTAAGGGTCGGGAGAGCGTCTATGAAATACACGGGCAGTTAGACAGCTATCGAAAAATGCAAAGTTCGGAAATACAATTTTTTCAAAGAAGATAGTTCGTATCAATTTGAAAAAAGATCCAAAGATTATTTGAAAACGAGCAAAAACAGAAAAAAAAATCTCTATGTGTATTCTGCTTCTTCTGACCTATCTAACGAAATTTGATTAACTTTGTTTTTCGATAGCTTGGGAGAAGAACTGTGATGTAATAAGAAATTCCAGATTTGCTCCAGAACTTTGTGTGAAAAATGACTTTAAATGGACTTTTTTAATGTTAAAACGATTGAAAAATAACAAAAAATGACGATTTTTAAGGCAAAGTAACAAGAAAGGAGGGAAGAAAAAGGATTACTGTAGCATTTCAAGAAATCGAAGTAACTTGTTGGTCGGTGTAGGAGAATCCGATTTGATTGGTCCGTTTGCCGCGCAAGTTTTGGAGAAGGTCTGAAAAAAAGTTTCCGTTTCAGTTTGTATTTTTCAACTCTTAAAGGAGGCAAGACAGCAAAAATTTCGGGGGGACAGTTCGGGGGACGAAATCGCGCCGTGCTTATGTAGACCATCGGTCGTCAGGCGCCTTCGCGCCCCCCGTAGCTCAGCCGGTAGCGGCGCTATACCCCTGAGCTGCCTGTCATGAGTTCAACCCCTCATGGGGGTTCTCTATGCAAAATATCAGGAAAATTTTTTTTTGGTGTCTGGGCTCCTTTAATAAGGAAAGTTACTAGTAAGCAAGACAACCGATCCAAGATAATTTTATTTATCATTTTTGACCACACAAAGAAACAATAAGTTTCACTTTTTTTGTGTTCTTTGAAAGGTTTTTTTCTGTTTCTTACATGGAATGACTCCCGAGTGTTACCCTTGAAAAAAATTGAGACCTAGATGATTAGAAAGAGCGTAAAAAGTTATTTCAGAAACCAAAAGGAATAGTTGATAAAAATTTTTTTTGGGGAGTTATGGCCCAAAACGTACCAAAAAAATGGCTATATTTTCAAAAAATCATAACTTTGTCTGTTTTTGTTCGTTTGTTTAGATTTTAAAAACAATGAATAGACAATTTATTGATGTTTGGAAAATTTTTTTTTTGATTTTTTTTTCTCATTGATTGGATTATTGATTTTTTGAAAAAAAAGCGAAAAATTTTTCAATATCTCAAAAATGCCAAGTTAACTTTTTTCTTATTATGACCATTGAACTCAGCACGTTTGATTTACTATAGAAACATATCAATATCCCGGGGGAAATCATGCTCACACAAGTTATGCCAAAAAATGTAGATTTTTGGCACTTGGCTGCTTTGAATTCGTTGTCCTCGAAGGTCGGTATGACTACGGCCATACTTCTTTTTGTGATTTTTACATGCATATAGTTGGTTTAAAGTGTTTAAAATATTATTCTGCAACATAAAAAGTCAATTATTCGAATGCCGTAATATGTCTTAAAATTGAAACTTTGAAAAAATCAAAATTTTGACATGTAATAGGGCATATCTATGGTCAAACTTGATGAAAACAGCCAAACTCTTTTTTTAACATAATTAGAAGAACCTAATTCTATCAACGGCTTGAACAGAATTTTGAGTTAGGCCCTAAAAATGAAAATATTTACGATTATTACAGCCAAACACCTATTATTAGGCTATAACGAATTCCACCACAGGGCGAGAATCAGA